GGAGAGAGATATGGAGTATTATTTGTGGGGTTGAAGTTAACGTTGATTCTGTTTGAGAATTTGGAGATGGGAGATGGGAGATGAAAGGGAGCTGAGATTTGGGACGATGAGAGATGAGTGATGAGGGACAATCGATGATGACTAGGGGATAAGATTGGGGGGATACAAGGACGTTGACGGTTTGTAAGATTATATTGTCTTTTGCGGATTTTTACCTGTTGCACAAAAGTTTCATTGTCAGAGAATTTGATAGACGGATTGATAGAGGGAGAGACTCATGGACTGGATGTTCATACGACTTTACGAATTTACGAACACATAGGCGTTGGGGCGAGTATACTTCGACTGTTTATACATATTACACATGTTACATATGTATAGACGGAACGATTTTCCGCTTTCATCCCTACACTTACTACGGAATTACAAACTACGATAGTGCAGGAAATTCCACAGGCTCTAGGAGGATACACAAGATGTATCTTACCTAGAGACAGAGAGAGAGGTTCATAGGATACAGAGAAAATGTAATGGTTAATTCTGCTGCTTGCAGCAAGATAGTGAGGGGTTTCATATTCTTAGTGTACATACCTAGGTAGCTATTTTCATAGAAAAATGCATTGGGTTTTATTACTTACTTTTTATATGCTAATGTGTTGCTGATGTTTGCCATTTGTTTTGTTATGGGTGTCATTGGGTACGGTGATGTGAGAGATGCTGATGTATGTGTTGATTATCTTTAAATTATGGGAAGAGGAAAGAGGTTCTTGGTGAATACTGAGTGATTGTATTTCAGATGACTTATCTTTCATCTCATCAACGCTTGGGAAAATTTAGAATAGCTTTGTTGGATTTGCTTGCTCATCCTATGGTGCACACAGAGGAAGTCCTTTTACTTCACACAGAGCCGTCTCTAATTTCCAAGTACCAGAGTGTGGTGCTTCAGTGATGACGCGCTTAAACCTGTTGCCAGCTAGCAATCGATGAGACGAGAGCGATAGAACTTGATTTGGAAACAGTCATATCCCCGCACCTCAAGAGCCGGTCGATGAATCGTATACACAACAACAATAACCGCAATATATACATTCATATCAGCCTCAGAAATTGAGAAAACTGACCCATAACTACCTCCCGAGCTATATTGTCTTTCGTGATAACCATGGAGCGGTTGTTACGCACTGTGCATTATTCAAGTAAAGTCACTAGTTTGAAGCTTCGCTGTCGTACAGCTTGATGGGATCTAATGAACTGGCTTGTATTTATCACTCAAACTTGTATACCCTTGGAGATATTGAATGGAGGCGGGGGGGGGGAAAGACTGTATAGCTTAGACTGAGATGGGCTTCTTCTGGAGAGCTGGGAGGGGTATATTGGGGAAAGTATCTGATTTTTACCGGTTCTAAATGTGCTAATGGTATTTTTATAATCGAGACCGTCTGTCATTATTTTATTATTTAAAGGGGATTGGAATGTCATATATGGGACTCTGTGATTTTGATAGAGAGATATACAGATGAGACTATGAGGAGTATTATAAGAAATGTGTGAGAAAGTCAGTGTGTTCTCGTCTGGAATCAAAGATTGATAGTTATATAACTCAGCAATTCACTCCTTGCAAAACCACAGAATCAAACCCACGAGAATATATAGACTTTCCGTTGTTCCCAATCCCAATACGTGGGTGTAGAGATTCCCAGAATCCAAGTTCAATACTGATAACTACAGTCCATCCGTCGATCACCCAAATCACCAGAGGAAATAGGGATCGCGGCATTTAGTTCCACAAATTCAACTCCTTTTAGTCCTTAGAAAGGCGTAGAAAAGAATGTGTGTGTACGTACCTCTATCTCAATCAAGCAAATAGGAGTTTGACTATCAATAAAACACTTCAAGAGTCTAATTATTCACTTCGGCGCATATGAAAGAATACCTAAATATCCTTGGGGGAGGAGGATTAAAAAAAGCTGATCTTCTATTTGACATTCCAAGCACACTTTTTTACTCGTGGTTGATTTCCATAGAAATGTATTTGTCAATATTGGGGTGATCAATCAAACCCGGCTTGTTTTCTCTCCCAGATATCGGGTTGGGCTGAGATATCACGTGTGGATCGCCTCGGCTAGCAAAAGCGTTAAGGCAAAAAAACTGCCACGACCACAAAAAAGATCACAGAAATTTCAAAAAAGTAATTTGTAACATGAAGTTCCAGGAATCCTATGCTGAACTCTCTGACGGGGAGTCGAACCCCGGTCTCCCGCGACTTGCAATATTATTGACAAGCGGAAATCATGACCGTTAGACCATCAAAGATGTTGTGCTATTGTTGTGATGGCGATCAACTTTTAAGTATATATATGAGGATTTAGTTTCTGTGGAGGAGAGGAGAAAGTATTGGTCTCGTGCTGACCGGAGTGGAGAGTGGTAGGTGGGGCGGGATATGATACATGTAGTGAGCGGGACTCGGGCTAGGTAGAAGAGAGCTACGGGGAGGGGGTGGGGGGCCTAGATGTATATCATCAAAAATGATGCTTCCGGTAAGGAGCGCAGGGCTAAATATGAATAGTGTTGCCTTGAATGTTGTAAAAGAATATCATTTGTGAAAATTGGATTATGATATTGTTGTTGTAATACCAATGGAGATTAACTTTGAGATTGTTATGAGAGAGACATGTTGGTGAGAGTGACGTTGAAAAAGATAGTTGTGAAAGATTCCAGCTTGCCAAATCGTGGAGATAAGGATAAAAGCTCAAGGGCCAGCCATATATACGACTCCAAGTATTGGGAAGAAGGACTTATCGAAATGAATTATGCCTAAAAAGCGGAAACTTTCATTTACCTTGTAAAATTCAAATGGCCACCGGGAGGCAGTTGGCTTCCCAGAAAAACGAATTGAATGTCTTTTCCTAATGAGGAGATGTCTTCGCCAGAAGTTTTCCCTGCCAGACTTCTGTCTTTGGCGTTTGAGAGCTACTAACCCACGCATGATGCATCTGCAAGCAAGTTCTAGAGTATTCAATCTCCTCTCCTCTCCTTGATCAGGGAAAGGAAGAATTTCTCTCCTCCGTAGTGAGGAGCGAAAAGAAGAAAATCGGCAGGATTTGGTAGGTATCAAGCTGATCATGAGAAGTTGCAGACGAGGAAAGGGAAGGCAGAAGATAAATTAGAAATACCCGTGATAGTATCAGATTAACTTCAGATCATAGTGTTTCACATTAAAAGCCAATCACATAATCGATTTCCTTCTCCTTCCATAAAGGAGAGATGATGAGGATTGAATAATTGACATAATTTAGTAATTTCTTGCAGGGCCCAGGAGAGGAGAAAGTAGTAGGGGATAAGGTTTCAATGATTGTAAGCAGCACAGAGTAAGATCTCTGACTTTGGAACAAGTCGTAACATGTATGAAATCAAATACACTATATTTATGCTATAGGCCAACCTGGCTATCACTAGTGCAGGAAGCAATGATCAAATCCATGCCATGCTCGATCGCCATAGTACCTGTCTGTTGTCAAGATGTTCTCCAACCAAATAATGGAGAGCTGTGTTTATGGCGATGTGGTAAATGTGAGTACAGCTGCCACTCAGTGCACCCTGCCGATGATCTTGATCAGAATCCATTCAATGATGGATCTGCTAGTTCGATAAGGCAGCCGAGGGTTCTTGTATGGTGAAGGATCGGGGGAGGCTGATCATCACTTGATCAAAGCTACATGCCCTCGTCGATTTGTTGCAAGTCGCAGGTTGAGGCTCATATACAAGATGAGATAAACCAGATCCTCTGAACGTTTCTCGGAGCTGTTGAGCCTTAACCTTGAAGCTATCATAACGCTTGCCAATGATGTTAAGGGATGGAAATCCTATGAGCATATAGCCGCGCTATGTGGATCCATGCGGGTTCTTGAATATTGCCAGCTCCACCTCACCCGCTCAACCAAACCTGATACTCTCAAATCCCCACTGTCTTTTGCATAGAACTTATACACACTTGAGTAAGGGAATTATATAGAATAGGCACTTTGGCGGAGTGGTTAACGCGATGCCCTGCTACTGTATCAACAGAGTCAGGCATTTCCTTCGGGAGCGAGTGTTCGAATCACTCAGGTGTCGCAATCGAGATTTACCTTTTGCACTTTTGATCTATGATTTTTATCCTGGTTGATTTTCTCTTTTTCGCTCTCATTCTTACAGAAATGAAAGCAATCAATCAATCTTATAGCCTGTAGAGAGAACTGCAAGTACACGACTGTAAGATTAGAACTGAGCCTTCTTCGTTTATCAATCATCCATCTGAGTTATCTATCTATACCTTTCATGGACACCATTAAATGTCATCAATTCTGGGTTCTGCGCCATTCAGCCAAGGACTTGAATTATGCTTAATCTGTAGTATCTGACTGTGTTAGAAGAGGAGCGCGTGGAGCATCAAATTGAAGTATGAATTTGTAGAATGAATCCCATTCTTTGACATAAAAGTCGACGCCAAATGTGGAGTCAAGATACTTAAGATAGCTTACTTGAGGCGGTGAAGAATGAAGCTTTATTTAGTAAGACATTATATAATCATGGTTCATTGGTTCGCTCGCATTTTTGCGATATCAGCCTTGTGGCTCAGGCGAGACTACTGCCGAAGGCCAAGCAAAGAGGATTTACGAGTTAACTTAATCTCACAGTGTCAAGGGTTTTCTTGATTTAAAACATCTCAGGCAAGGAAAGAATGCCTACAGATTGGTAGAATTCCATATGCACTATCTCATGCACCCTCCACATCACATAAGGCTGAGGATCAAGAAAGGGGAACATGTAAGATTGTCATGTAATGGGCAGTGCTATACATATATGTATATATTGACATAAGTAGGGACTTAGCTTTCCATTCCATGCCTTTTCTACTTTCGTGTAAGAGGTTGCATCGTATCTACTTGCTTATTCATTCCTGCCATCATTGACAATTCGATTGGACCCCCTGGAAAGTTTTCGAAAGTTTTGAAGAGACAATGCCTATTGAAATCCCCAATCAAATAATACCCCGATCTAGGAGATGTGGACCCAAAGTGAAGACAGGCTGCCGAACTTGCAAGTATGAATCTGAAATGTTGTTCAAGTCAAGGAATGTTCCTCATTGACATAATCCAGGATACGTCGAGTCAAGTGCGATGAGGCCAAGCCTTCATGCGAAAGATGTGTTTCCACTGGACGAAAATGTGATGGGTATTTCACAGACCTAAAGAGGTTGAGCCCGGAAATGCAAACATTGTCAGACATCCAGCGAGTACCTACATTTTTACCTGGTACTGTAAATGAACGGCGAGGTTTTCAATACTTTGTTTCCAATACAGCAACAGAGCTCAGTGGATATTTTGATCCCTCTTTCTGGAATCATCTCATATTGCAAGCAAGCTCTGTGGACCCATCTCTTCGGCATGCTATCATAGGACTTGGGACTCTCCACGAAGATTTCTCGAACCGAAGATTGGATCTTGCGACGAAATGCGATGCTGCAAGATCAGGATTTGGGTTCGCTACAAGTCAATATACAAAGGCCATTTCACACCTTAGACGGTCTCTAGCGGCAGGCAAACAGAAACCTCTCACAGCGTTAATGTCTTGTATTCTTTTCGTTTGCTTTGATTCTTTACGGGGCCATTTCTCAAGCGCAGTGATGCATTTGCAGAGCGGCCTAAAGATTTTGCAGAATTCGCGATTACGAAACAATTCTGAAGACGAGGATCTGATAGAAGAAAACATTGTACCTATGTTCATGAGACTTTGCATACAAGCTATTCTGTACATCGATACTAGAGAAGTTCCAGAACGTATGGCTTTCGCAAAAGTAATATCGACCATCAGTACTCGAGAAAATATCATACCAAGAGAATTCAAGAACCTGGATGCAGCAAGAAGAAGTCTCCTTCACGCATCCGATAGCCTTTTCCGAGGGGGTTACTTATGGGATGGTAACCTTCCTTCCGCCTGCCAACCAAAATCAGCGATGGATTTATATGTAAAATCTCGTATGCAATTGGACGCTTGGAGAGTCTCATTTGAGAACTTCATGAAAAACCAGAGTCATACCTTTGACAGTAAACAATTGAGGGGTGCTGCACTGTGCAAAGTACATTATGCAACTGTGCATATTATGGCCAGGGTCACCGAACTAGACCTAGACGACCCTCGAATCATCAAGAACTACGTCAATGATCCCAAAAAGTTCGCCGTGTTCAATTTGGAATTTCAGATCATCGTCAGTCTGGCGAGATCTTTAATCAACGCTGCCGAGGAAGATGCTAAAGCTGGAAGACCTGCATTCACTTTCTCGGCTGATTTGGGTTTGATTGCTCCTTTATATTGTAAGTTGCTTAGTCTACAATATTCTAACCCAATACTAATTCCACTTTCTGACTAGTCACTTGCATGAAGTCACCCAATGAAGCAACTCGTCGCCAAGCACTGGAACTTCTACTGCGGTGTCCAAGAAAGGAGGGGATGTGGGACAGCTCATCAACAATCAACCTCGTACGAGATTTCTGGAATCTCGAACAGAAACTGATTTATCGACCTATAGGAGTATACCCTGTTTCAGAAAAACTCATTCAGATGAGTGAGGTGGTAAATCTTGTCCTGAACAAGGATATGCAATGGGAATGGAAACTCTCTGAAACCCCGACAATAGAACCTCCTCAATGCACACGTGGAGACGACTTCTCGAATCTGGAAGACTTCAGTTGGCTACCAAGTGAAATGGAAGATATTAAATTATTTGAAATGGCTGAAGGAAGTCTCTTTTTGGGGGTTTCCTGGCCCTAACTATATCCGAAAAGACGATGAAAGTCTATCAAGAGACGCAATACTTATATTATAGAGATAGAAGGCGCCTTATAGATTGGTTATCCGTTTAGATATCCAGGATTGTGTCCAAGAAATGTTTGTGCAGCAATTTATTTTATATAGCCAAACTCTTCTCTGCTTCCAGAATTCATTTTTCCTTATTCGTACTGTGGGTGGTCGTCCTTCATGTTGATTCTCTTGGGCAAGATCTCGATATTTGCTACTGTTGATTTCCATTTTCTTATGCTATACACTGCAGGTGCTTTGATTTACTAGTCGTGGATCAGTGTCCCAATTATTATGATTCTCTCTATGCTTTCGTACCCACAGAAACTGATGTTAGTCCAAAGATTAGCTTTTCCCACTACCGTGTCTAGCTTCACTCTAACGACTAGCTTGCGCAGCCATCTTTTCCTTGACCTTAAATCTCCAGATTTCCTACAGATTATAGGATTTTCATCTGTACTCTTTTTTTTCATGACAATTGAGAATTATTTTCTAATGCTCCTCATTTCTAACGTGCATCCAATAGTTCTTGATCACACATCTTCTCAATCCGGGTCAATGTATAATGTAATGTATGTTACTCCTACGATAACTCGATTCTCAATTCCACGACGAAACCTCCTCAAGATCAGTTTGCAATGAAATCGTGAAATCATATCGATTACCGTTTCTAATTCTAGCTCTCGAGGAAGATACGCCATCTATCCAGAGGAAGCTTATTCTACTTGTCCTATTTCATATATTACAATAACACATACTCAAAAAGACGTTAATTACGTCTACCTCCTTTCAACAATCAGATATGCAGGTCGCTCACAATAAGCACCTAGGCGAACAAGAGCTTAGAAAAGAATGTGGAAGCGAAGCAAACGCCAAAAGGGAAGATAAGGAGCACAATTACAAGCACTGCAAGATTCATGATGATATTGTCGATAATGACGTCAACGATGTGGAGGAAATTCATCGTGAGGGTTTGAATGTGAAAGCATCTTCTCAATTACACGAGTTCACCCAATTCCACAAGTTCCCGTCAGAGATCAGAGAAATGATATGGAAGCTTGCAATAAACACTACACTCACCGAAGTCCACGAAGATAACCGTCACTTGACTCGATTTGGGTACCCAGAGGAGGAAGTTATCTGGAGCTGCAAACTAATGTTAAGGCATGCCCATACCAGCTCTGAAGCTCGATGGATTGTCGCAAGGAAAATGTTTCGCTTTGGCGGGGATAAATACAAACACCTTACTGAACAAACAATGGATCGGTGTATATTTCCGGTGGTGAACGAGATAACATTCCGTAAAGTGGATGATGTGATTACATGCTCAATATTCCATAATTCCGCGGAAATATGCAATGGGGTACGCATAGGAATTGTAAGTGATGAGCGTAAAGAGGAATGTGCAAAGCATTTGCAAAAGCTCCTTGAAGCTTAATCATGCCTTTATGGCTACGCTCTAGTTTATATAATCTTTAATTTATAATCTATAATCTATAATCTATAATTTATAATCAAATCACATCACATCATTCAGATGCCCAAATGTTCCTTTTCGTTCTTCCTGAACTATCTCATATGATAGTAGTGATACACCACAACATGCCCAGTAACCCTCCTCATATCTCTTCACGAAAATGAATATACATAAACACCGGCACAAACCCAAACCCCGCACTACTAACCTCCCACCCAAACAGAAACAAAAACGTAAGCGTAAATAGAAGATATATTGAATTCTTACAATTACACCATCTATATGTAAAGCCTGAAAATCACCCCCTCCTCCCAAAAGTGTACTCCATGGAGTATACGCACGTATCGAATAATGTATCTTACAGAGAAAGGAAACAAAAGCCCGCAAGAAACATACTCCTCCAATCCATTCCTCCATGCATGCGTGTTTCCGTCCACTACTAAAGTTACGTCAAAGTTAAGTTCAGCAAATTAAAAAATACAAGCACCAAGCAATTCACTCATCCCAAGCGAGTCACCCCTTAAAAAACAGCAGATAATACACGACTATTCCCATACTCGTCTACCCTCTCGTAGCCTCCAACGCCGCCGTCAACGGCACGACCCTCAAACTTCTCACTCTCTTCAAATCAGTTCCCCTTGTTTTACGTTCGGCTGCACAGCAATAGTTGGGGCTCTTCCCTCACTCCACTTCCTAAACACACTTTTCAAATCTTTCGGGATCCCTTCAATGACTACTGTTGAAACAGGTACAAAAGGGCGATCTTCCATGCCCGCTGAAAGAATCCCATATTCCTGTACGAATTGAAGTGCGGTATGAAAGGGGCCATATTGGGACTGAGCTTTGGCGCCGATGACAATGTAGATTTCGAAAAAGGCATCAAGAATGTAAATACCAGTTGGAGAGAGGTCGGCTTGAGAGAAGGGGTTTAATTCGACGATCTGGGATATGTCAGTGATGGATTATGCAATGAAGAAAACGAGGACATACTTGTTCTTTGCCTGCAGCGGTAGCACAGAACAAACGAGCGGAATATTTATTATAGGCTGGCTTAAGTTTCCAGTGATCAGCTGATTGTGGAATCTGTTTGCAATTCTCGAACACTCTCAAGAATGACGAAGGTTCATCGCCATCCTCAATCTCTTCGATATCACCAGTCATTGATATTTCCATTCCGAGGAGTTTAGCACAACCATGCTCTTCAGCGGTACTACCTCGACCCTTCCATAGATATGTCTTGCCTGATGGTGAGGATACAAGATATGGAAACCCAGAGCATAAGACTGAAGGAGAGTAATCAACCTCGTCAAATACCAACATTCCATACTGTTGTCTTGCGCAGAGAATATGAGGAGCGAGAGAATCATACTTGTTAGAAGATCCTCTTCTGATAATGATGATACCACCTAAAGCTTGGTAAAACTCTGGAGTTTCTTTGCCTTGTCTCAATATTACAAATCTTCCACCAAAACCCTTGGCTTCTCTCTGAGCAAATATCTCAGCGCCAGTAACAACATGTTCAGGAACTTCATCGCCAATCCACCAGTATACTTCTGTCACTTTTCTACCAGTCGCATTGGTAAATGTATGGGGGCATAGGTACATCTCACGCTCAAAAAGAACACGCTCTTGATGAGTAGGAACAGACTGCCTCTTTCCATCCTCAAATAAATAAAACAGACTGGATTGCAATGTCCGTATCGTTGAGATAGTATCTTGTCTTGCCATTAAAATGCTTGCTGTATCGACTGAGTAAGTTGGGGTTGGCTTGGGTTCCTCACCGAAGAAATCGGCAAGAAGTTGGGACGCTTCAGATGCTTGAGGTACTGGGGAGTAGGCCATACTGGGTGAACGAAGACCTGGGCTCATTACTGGTGATGTTAGTGTTTTGGTTGGAGGGGTGGGAAGAGCGCGCGCGGGTGTTGATTCTTTTGTAGATTTTGGTCCCATTCGTAGTCCTAGATCAATAGACTTATTTCGCTTCAACGGACTAATAGGTGGTAAACCTACACCTGCTAGTTTTATCTTATCGTCTTCATGAGACTTGTTCCGTTTCAATGGACTTATAGGTCGCAAACCTGCGCCCACTAAAGCGGCCTTTTCATCTTCGTAGGTTGGTAATTGTATTGGAGAAGGTATGCGAGCAGGTGGTTCTGCAGTGGATCGACCCCACAATGCTGCAGTATGCTTGACTGATCTCGATGGACTGAGTGGTGGTGGCTGATCAAAATGAGGTGAGAATTGCGGTGGAGATTTTAACGAATTTGCTTTTCTCGGGGATAACGGAGCAGGACGAAGCTTTGCAGTCTCTGGTGACACAGGTTCATTAAATGTACGATCTTCATATACTTTGGTTGGCGATGGAGACTTGGCAGGCGCTAGGGGCTCTGGCTTTGGTGGATCTGGCGAAACTATTGCCTCGAGCTTGTTGTGGTGTGCCTTTACCGTGTTCTCGGGGAAATTAGCAATTTTGACGGAAGAAAGTGGTTTAGGGGCTTCCAACGATGGTGTATCCTTATTCTTTGGTGCTTCTTGTAGAAAAAGAGATCGTCTTCTCATATCTAGTTTCCGTGGTGATGAAGGCTGAGAAATTGGAGTGCTTTCTGGCACCTGTTCTGTGTTCAAGGCTGAAATTGTCTGCTTTATTGGACTTGTAGCAGGTGATGAAAGTTGCTCAGGCGCAGCGAAAGACTTGGTAGGAGATGTGATGGGAACATTTTCTTCGGCTCTTTCTTCGGGTTCTGGTGCTGATGTAGTTTGAGTTGGTGCGGCTGTAGAAGGCGCCTTTCGTCTTGGTCCACGGGCACGCCCCTTAGTCATATGTGTGAGTTGTGGTCCATTCTCGCTCGATTCGGGATTAGTTGTTGAAGTGCTCATACTGATTGTACGCTGAGATAACGAGGCACTTGAAGATCTTGAGGTTTCACTAGCAAGTGAAGGCGGGCCTCTGGCAAGTAAATCTGCGAGACCAGGATTAAAACGTCCAGCAAGCTTACCTCCAATTGCACTCTTTTCTTGCATGCGTGTTGGGGCACTGGTTTCCTTGACTAAGTTTGGAGTGGGATTGGCAGAAGCATTCCGCTGTGGTGAACTAGATTCCCAGGTCGATGCAATGTTAGAAACGGAACCGTTTCTTCCAAGGGTGTTTCTTCTCCGCAACGCTTCAGGTACCACATTCTCCCGACTTTCGCTACTGGCAGATCTCGAAACTCCATTTCCCTCAGCTTGTACTTTCTTAAAATCCTCTTTCTTTTTCAATATCGCATCTTTGAATTCATCTTTACGTTCAGTCTTTACGGGACCTCCAGTAAGGTTGAGCCCTGCCTTTCCACGTGTGATGTTGTCCTTGAGCATATCCGGAGCAATGTAACTTTGAGTTTTCGTCCTCCGTAGTTGACCAAAGATATTCTTAAATTCTGGCTCTTCTTTGGGCTTTTCATCAGCAGGTACCTGGCGTGATTTCAAAACAGAGCGGAAATCATTGGCTTTCACTGAACTAGCAGATGAATTTAAATTGGCCTTGGGTGTTCCAGATGGTGTGGATGTAAAATTTGGATTGAATTTTTGTGTGGTGTCAGAAATAGGAGTGGAAGTGGAGGGTGTCGATGGCCTTTCGGCTTTTGTATTCCCAGCGGCGCTCTTACTATCCTGATTAATCATGCTCTCGATGTTTCGCTGTGGTGTAATGCCAGGAGAGAATGCTGTTGGGAAGCCTCGAATACTTGAAGGCGTTGTCAATGCGCCAGGAGGAGGAGATCTCATTAGCCCACCAATATTTACTTCGTGCTTCACGGTCTGACTTCTACCCAAGTCGACACTGCCTTTCTGTTTTGCTCTGTTAATTTCTGACATCCACGATGGTTGTTGAGGCGGTGGTGTGGGTTTAGGTTTCGGTGATTCAGGTTTGTTTAACGCGCTCTCGAGCCAACTAGATTTGGTAGGACTCCATCGTCTCGAGTCCGCAGTTTTTGTAGGGCTGACAGGCAAACTATCATCTGCTGGAGGCGATTGATTCCCACTATCTACCTCTTTAGCTTCGGCCGGGGTGTAAGATCTAGCTGTTGCTAAAGATGGTCTCATGAAGTTGGAATTATCATTCATCGTAGAGTTTGTTACATTGCTTTTCATAGAGCTTGCTGTGCCCGGGCGGTGGAGTTCGCCATGACTTGAGGTAGGTCTTGATGCAGGTCTTGATGCAGGCCTTGAGGGAGAAGTTGATTGATTATCCGCAGCAGGATCAAAAGACGAATTCTTCCGATCTAATGATGGTGAAGCAACAGACCACCGCTTATTCATACTCTCCGATCTCTTCATCATCGCACTTTGGACAAATCCACCCATTCCTTTGGTTGGAGAATTGGGCCGGTCTAGTCTATCGGGCGATATGCGACCCTGCGAAGGTGACATTGCTAGGCCTCGAGTGTCCGACAAACTATCAGCAGCAGGTGGATCCAATCTCTGGGCGTCAGTCACTGGAATTGGTGATCCCATGCCAACACCCGGATTGCTCTGAAATGACATTCTAGAGCCGCTTCCATATGAAATGCTATTCCTTGCTGGAGGCCTTGTGGGCGATCTTGTAGGAGTTGAGGAATAATCCTTGACCTCGTTCGATGTCTTGTCTGGCGTAGAATTATTACGAGCCATTCCTGGCATCTGAATTGACCCGTGTGTTGCTCTTTCTTCGTCTTCTACCTGATTCTTTCTGTAAGCTGGTGAATTAACGCCTCGATCGGCGGTTTGCCTAAACCAAGCTGGATCTTTGGATGCTAGTGATTGCGCAATTTGTTCTCGAGAAGGGGTACTGTCATCGGCAGACGTGGTATTCTCAGGTGTCGGTGTAGTTGTTCTGGATAGCGTTACCCTATCTGTAGCAACCATGGATAAAGGTCGACTCCGCGGTTTATCGGAAGGTTCTGGTCTGCGAGCCCATGATAAAGGTGAATTTCTTGAGGGCATAGCATTTGACGGTGAATCTCTAAACTGAGAGGTCCGCTTCAAATCCGGCACTGAATTTAATGCCATTTCGTCTACGTCGTTGTCAACAACACTCCCGCGCCGAGACTCAGAAGATTGGTCGTCTGAAGTTGAGAGAATGCCTGATATAGGTCTTCTAGGTGTACTCATAGGAGACGACTTCGTAGGAGAGATGGATAATGCCCTTTCTGAAGTAAACATTAGCAAGAAGTACATTTCTGACCTATCATATTATAGCATGGCGACGGGCGGAACAATGTCTCTGAAAAGAAAGTTTAAATAGAAATCAATTACCAGCTCTGCGAGCTTGTCTTTCTTTTCTGCCTTGCAATATCTCTTCCTCTAACTTTCTTGTGCGGTCTTCGTCTTCTTGGTCCCGTTTATTGCCCAATTCTTTGATACGCTGCAAGAAATCATTGACATCGGGCTCCCCTTCGGTATTCGACATGTTTATAAGAGGCGGCGGCACAACAACACGGGAGAAGAAATTTAAATGGTGTATTCCAGAGAACAGGACAATCCAAGTTACAACTCGGCGGGGTAAACGCGTTTGCACGAGGGGTCGAGGTTGTTGAGTACCTCAAAGGATTGTTCTAGTAAGGAAGGTTGAAGCTTCCAAGGTTCGCTTGGTCAAGGTTTCATAAAGTTCATAACTTAAGCTGCAAGCTTTCATTTAAGTAAGGTTACGAGTACCTAGATATGGATACAACCTTGGGTTGTTGCCATTTTTTCTTTTTACAACTGTACATACATAAAACGTGGCACATATTCTATCGTTGTATACTTGCGTGCTTCAAAAAGTCATGACAGATGTCTAGATGCACACTTCTCACGATAAGTTTCGAAGGTTCTATACCTACTGACCTACCTGTTAACCTATTCACAATTGATCAATATCTGCTCGGTATACTTCGTGCCGTTCCTTGAGCGGCGGCTGTCACACAATTACGCGCTTACGTCGAATACAAACAATAAACAATAGAAGCTCCTGCAACCCAAAACAAAGAAGATCCTGGCCCGATTATCAATTTTTTTTTACGAGGGGTAAGGTTATTAAGGTACCGGTACCCGTACACCCATCTGGGCAAGCTGGGCACAGAATTAAATGACACTAGAGAAGTCCCAAATTAAAACAAACAAACAAATCTCTTCTTTTCGTAACTATGTCACTAAAATGAGTTGAATGGGATATTCCTAGTATTGGGTTGCACGAATTCCGGAGATCCACCAGTGGTCTAGTACTCCGTATAGTATAGGTAGGAAGGTTCCTAGTAAGTACTCTATTTCGGTAGTAGTGGACTTTTTCGACTCGTTCACCGACATCAATATAGAAATAATCGTTCCTTGGAGTCTTCGACAACCCAAGTCAGTCCTTCGTCCAAATTATCGCCTGTGATCGCGCTGCAATTAATGATGTGCCATTTGTGCGTCCGAATTTCATCTAGCACCAACATCTATTTCCGGTTAGTATATCCACTTCTCTTGACGACGCCCTTTACGCCTGCATGTTTTTCAGTCTTCACTCACATCTTTTATTTCGGTCTTGGTCATGCAGCCATTAACATCTGTCTTGTTGGCAAACACAAGAAGACTCGCCCCAGAAAGTCTCTATAGAGTGTCAGTTATTGGCATTGTAAAAACTCAATACTTTACTATTAACAAACCTCTTCCTGCAGTAAAGCATGCAACTCTTCCTTGCAATCTTCAATACGTAGACGGTCAGTGGCATCAACCACCCATATCAAAGCATCAGTCTTCTCAAAATAGTTTCTCCAGTATGATCGGAGAGTCTTTTGACCCCCAACATCCCCTACAATTGTAAGGTTCAGTATATATTTCACTAGAAATAGCGGAAAGTTAAAGAGGTAATACAAATGTTCAGCTTGTAACTTTAAATGGTCAGCGTGCTGTAGCTTCTTCATAGGTGGCATAAGATGTACCCAGAATGCTCAATAGTTTTGATGATGAAACCCAGTGTTGGGCTCACAGTGTTGACATCTTCCCCCATGATTCTTTTGACTATCGTAGTCTTGCCAGCATTATCCAGTCCGCTGTGCGAAAAAATTAAAAAAAGACGATCAGCAAGGAAAGATTGTCAGGGGGAATAGCAGTCTCATACAGCATCAAAATTCTCATCTCCTTGTCCTTGAGTCTCGCCTTGCGTAATATGGATAACATCTTTACCAAAATCTTTCTATGTCGTCGTTGGTATTGCTCTCCTCAAATGTTCATCGCAGGGAAGAAATAAAGCGTTCTGCTCACATTTCAAGGAGAGGCAGATAAATCACGTGATATATTCTAATATTCTGACGTTTCAATATTCGTTGGAAAAGTAAATCGTTTATTAGATGAAGATTTTTCACTACCTAGGTAATGGATCAGATTGTCATCCGTGGCTGCTGGAGATGTTCTCGCGTGCTTGTCAGTCTGCGCAACGAGATGTCAATGTTTCGATACTGCAAGTTGTAGCTTCCCGATTCAAACCACAATCTCTCTTGCAGTCACTTTTTCATGATGGGATCAATGATAGACGGGTGGTATGATTTGCGATTGATTGATAGATTGGAAACTTCTCATGGTCTTCTCGGCTCGAAAGTTTGATCTTATTCGAAGAAGAAGAAGAAGAACAAGTCCCAACATTCATGAAGAATTTCAATTTCTGTTCTTCTCGATTATCTTACTTCACTCGATTCACTCCTCCGCAACACACCTCGTTTTAGTTAACCAGTAACATATTCACCTTCGAGCTCTTCTCAACAACACAGAACAATAACTTAGCCACGATAATAAAAGATTGCCTGGGTACCTTGTTGTCGCTTTCCATTGAAGGTATTTCTTTCTTCTACATATTTGGTATCAATTTCTTCGTATTTTCCTCAATCGGCTATACAAAGAGACAGAATTACTATCTACTTTACTCACTGTTCCTCTTATCCGCCTTGTTTATTATTCCACACACAGATAGCGAATCACTTTGCAGTTTCACACCTTTTCGCGACTCTCTGCTGCTTTGTCGATTACAATCTATACTCTTCGTCACCAGGCATCTTTGTGCAATTACTTCCACCTTTGTAATAATCTCGCGGCAATGGAACATCACTCTAAAATAATAGTTTCAACAGAGAGAGACGAGGAATTCGAGAAGGCCCGCATCAAACGCCTCCGAGGAGATTTTGAACAAGATTTTCTAGCATTCAAAGATGAGGTCCTTGAGATTGCCGGGAAGGTAAACGGTCTTGGTTCATCACGATTCGCAGTTGGCCACCAGAAGCTTTATCAAGTCACACCAGGCGGCCCGAGAAATCTCGACTTGGATGACAACTCTCTGTGTAGACACACGCCTTCACCGCCACCAAACATAGCGAAAATGAGCGTGTTGACAGGAAACAAGGACCTGGCGTCCCATTTGTCAAAGTTGGGAGGCTTAAATGATTCTCGCTGTAAGTATCTTTTCCCATATCCGTTCTTTCGCTCGCTGATTGTGTCAGTTTCTCCTAAGGTTCACGACAATGCCATCAATAAATTCAACTTTCAAAGCAGTTCCGGGGAAAGTACATTCAAGGCAAATGCGATCATCTCTACCCCAACCAAGCCGAAGAGCATATCTCCTTCTTTGAGTGGTTCAGCGAAGTCTTTCACACCTCGGAGTCTCGAGGAATCGCCTTCTAGTGGCGGCGGTGGTGTTCCATTGGCTCCAGTTAGTCTCCCTTCTAGTTTCTGGTTGCTATTACTGACTATGTACTTAAGTGCTCAACCACTGTTGTCAAGGATGGCGCAGTCAAGAAGCCAACTCCTGAGAAGTTGATAGAGCAGAGGCTCATGGCAGACTTTCACAAGCGCATGGGTAAATCTCAAAATACCAATTCACGCAGAGTCGACAGTGCCAATGAGGCTATCATGGTCCCAGTCTTGGTATGACTTTTGATTCTATCATCGATTCACATCACTAACTTTAACTCAGTCTCCTGTTGCTATTGTCCCAGATGCCAAAGCAAACACTACAGTCAATGAAAACATCTCAGTTGCAGGCCAAGAGCTCTTTGCTGCTATTGGTTCTGTTGCACCATCTTCTATCCCAACTACACACACCACCAGCTCTCCGGTGCAAGCTTCAGCTCCTGGTGGTGCAAGTAGTGAGTCGTGCCCACTGACTGCTCCTATACAGACAGTCATCTCTGGTCGTTCCTTGATGAGGGAAGACGAGTTTATGAGAATGCTACTTAAGGATAAACAAGAGAAAGATTTGAAGAGAAAGCTCATCGCTGCTCCAAAATCAATAACACAAAGCGAAAATCTCAAGGGTACACTTCACTTTCAAACCCGAAAAATTCTTCAAAACTGGAAAAGGTTAGGGCTAACAAAATTGCGCACTAGTGAATATACAGCAATTGAAATCTGATTCCCCTCCCTCTTCCTCGAATCCACCTCTGCTTTCCCTGCAGCCCCAAACCTTTACAGATGACGAAGTCAACTCGAACAATAACAACAATTTTGAGAACAAGTTAGGTAGGTTATATTAGCGCTGGTTTCAGATTGATTCAACAATTACTGATGGCTTTATCCAGAATCCCCCGGTACTGAAAAGTCGACCTTTCCTCAGAGACAGAACTCACACACAAAAATGTCGAATAAGCCTCTAATACCCGCACCATTCAACTCGGTAAGCATTTGCACACTTGATCTGTCCGTTCTCTCTTGCCTTTACACGATCTTTACCCTCTGATTTAATCTTTCATTCTCTGATTCACCTCTCCTTCATCCCTATACCTGTCGTGACTTTGAAGAGTATGAATCTTGCTAACATACATTCTTACAGTGGACCACTGCAAAGTTGACTCAAGGCAAGACTTTAAGCAAAGCAGATGAAGATTTCCAGACATTCATTGCGAATAAAGCGGCCGCACATGCGGAGGTACGAGCACAACAACAAACTGTTTTACAGCCTACATCACCAAAGCCTGCCCCAAGAAAGCCAACACAGGCCGAAGCAAATGCAGAAAAGCGCAAGCTAGCCGCTGGAACAGCTGATTTCAGTGTGTTTCTTGCTCGCCGCTTCGCAGATCCCCCGAGCATCAAGAAGGAAAATGTCTTCAGTGCAAAGCCTTTCGCTGAGAAAGGTGTTAGTGTAATGAGCACGATTGATGATAATCATACGAATACTGCTATTAGTTTGGCTGCTTTGAAGGGCGAATCCTCTCAGGACAAAATTTCCCACGTTGCTGTTCACAGTTTCGCACCAAAGGAGAACCAAGCTGCCATTCTTGCCAACACACAAGTCAACGGTTCATTGAATGGAAAGCTTATGGGTAACTTAAATCAAGCTGTTAGCATCGTCTCTTCGCCTCCATTCTGGTCAATCTCTAGCTTTTCTGACATTGGCGATAAGTTGAAAAAGGCCGACATTGGCACAGAATCCAAGGAAGGCGTTCGTCTATCTGAAACAAAAGATGCAAACCTGATCTTGCGCGATTGGGATGGTAACTGGTGTACACCACCAATTTGGGAGGAGCGTGGAGCTTTCGATTCTGCTTACATTCCATCTTACATTCATGAATGGTCTAACAATGTCAGCCCTGTGCAGCCAGTCACAATTACTATCGACACCTCTGCCGAAGGTTTTAGATCTGGCGAATATGTTGTCAATAACGTCGTCCTTTCCAAAGCACCCCATCATGAGCCAACAATTCCTGGTAAGTTTATTTCCTTGAAAAATTCATGTACTTGGCCTTGGTCTCATGGATTAACTTTGCTGCTAGATATTTTGAATGCCTCCGATGAACAAAAGAGACTCCATCAGACTGCAGCCAAAGACGCAGCAGCTCACTTTCAGAATGTAGAGAGGGCTCGAAAAGCACAAGAACGAGCTGTCATAGTAAGTAATGCTCACTATGAGCGGCAAATGGCAGAAGACTCTGAGCCAAATACATCTGCTCCTAAGATTGAGATTTATCTACGACCCGCCACTGAAGCTGATGCAAAGCACATTTTGGAGATTTATAATCATTACGTTCGTGAGTCTTATATCCCAGAGGATCAAGAGCCAGTCACTCAGAATGACATTCTTTACCTCATACAAGTCAACAAAAAAGAGAAGTTACCTTTCGTGGTTGCCGTCAAAGGTTGCATTCCAGCGAAATCCGCCAATCCAAAGGTCAAGACCAAGCTACCGCAGTATGAGAATATCGTTGGCTTTGGATACACCGAGATTCGTGGTTGTGGACTTACTGGAAGATCTAACGGTCGATCCAGATTTACACACAATCTACACTTTTATGTTCACCCTGAATATACTCGTAAGGGAATTGGTGGTTGTGTTCTAGATAGTCTCCTCGTGGTTTCAAGTCGTGCTTGGTCTAGTAATGGTGGATACAACTGGCTCAACCCTGATAATGATCCTGCCTACGGCCACGGTTGTGGCGCCCGCTGTCACCAACTGATTATCGAGGTTCCTGTCAAAAAGGATGACCCCAATTACGATTGGATGAAAAAGTTCTTGCGCAACTTCTGGTTCTTGGATGAAATTCGGCTCATCTCTGTTGGCCGAACTTCTGTATTGAAGAGTCCAGTAGAGTGGCTGGACGTCGTGCACTTTCAAAAGGAACTTGAGCATTCAGGTGAATTCACACACATGGTCTAGCTACCATACTCACGGACATAATTGATCGACACAGTCTCGACTTTCGAATACCCAATACAGTTTATTTCCCTTTTTCTTCTTTTCTTCTTTCCTTTTCAATATGTCACTATTGCAGGTTCCATCACTCTGGAGGTGGCTGTGTTTGAGATCATATTGAATTTCATTACTTGCCTTTTCGAGGGTGATAATCAGGGAAAGGCTCTGGGCTGAATGTGAAGAATTTGGAGTTGACAAAATGAAAGAAAGAATGGAAACATTGAACGATGGGATACAATGTGCGAGGAGTTTCTACACTTTGGTGCTAAAATATACAAAGATCTGCAATTAACAAGCGAGATCTGACGAAGCTTTTATTGAACTGAACGTAATTAAATTGAGGAATTCACAGGAAATAATACAAGAAATCAATATCTGTTCCTCTGTTGTAGCTTTGTTGTGATTTTCCTCCTACCTAGGTATAATTGTGAAGTATAATTTATGCACATTATTTGTCGTGCTCGAGACTTATGCAGTTTTTCAAAAGCTAACCAATCTCGTCAAC